AGCCTTGGAAATGGTATTTAAGGGGATAGTGTCAGTTATTAAGACTAAAAACTTGGGATTTACTTTGTTTAGAAAAACCTACAATGTCATTATTATTTAGGACACTACTGAAAGCGAGGACTCCCGAACACCCTTTTCCTTTTTTGTGATCCAACTTACAGTAATGTAGCATAGTCCATCTATACTGTCTTTTAAGTTGTAATGACAGCTATTTTAAAATTTTCCTAGTACTTAATTTAAAATCTTTTTTTTAGAGGTTCTATATGCTTGTGCATTTCCAGCCCTGAGAACTCTACAGGCAACCATGCCAGATTCTCTACTCTTTTATACAGAACAGCTATACCTTCTTAATTTGTCAGAGTTCTGTATCAGACATGAAATTCAAGGTAAAGAATTTGTTCATTTCTTTAAATCCTGTTCAGCCATACCCTTCAGCTTATGGTTTGTGTGGGTTTTTTATGGCGCATGTGAATCTGCATAAATTTGGAAGCTATGCTCAGTGGCTATGATTTGTTGCAGGGCTGTCAGGCATCTGGGGTGAGGTTATTGCCTATAAAATTTTCTAGGCTGAGGGATTTTTAGGATGAATAGGGAAGCGTCAGTGAAAGACTGGAGGACTTTTGGGAGTACCTGCTGCCCTGGGGTGGTGCTTTCTGTTGTTTGGGGCATACATAGGTGCTAAAAAAATGGGCAGGTGCTGATTCCGTTGCCTTTAATAGCCACTATAATTTGTCCTTTCTTTCATAGAATTATAGAATCATAGAATCGTTTAGGTTGGAAGAGACCTTTAAGATCATGAAGTCCAACCGTTAACCTAACACTACCAAGTCCACCACTAAACCAGTTAAGGGTAGAATAATAATTAATTTCATGTTTCCTGGCTTGGTGGCTGGATTATTCTTTAATGGAAGTAAAACTAGGAATCATTAAGGTTGCAAAGGACCTCTAAGATCATTTGATCAACTCTGTGTGCATAGAGCAATGAGAGGTGGCAGAAGCAACCTTTGTGAGCCAGGAAGAAAAGCTACAGGCCTACATCATGCAGTCTAACCTAGATAAATGGTCAAGGGAGTGTGTATTGCCAGATGAAAAATGCCATGTGAGGTGAATGATATTTGGCATCTCTATATTTTGTTGAACCACTGAAGAAGCGAGTAAGCAAACCAATATAAACCACAGAAGATGAGCAAAATGTCGAAAAGAAGCCACATAAATGTTGTGGTTGTTCCCCCACTCCCCTGCCCCTAAAAAATAGGTTAGTTAACTCAGATGCAGAATTTAAGGAAAAAAAAAATATACTTTTTGAGAAGCAGAAGTGTGGGGAAACTGGTTGTAAGACTTTATAGCTAATAATGTACACAAATTAGGGAATGTCACTCAAATGATATAAACATGTCTGCTTTTACTTACAGTTTGGTGTAGATATCATAGTAAGCAAGTTATGAACAGTCTCCATCAGATCATGTTGCTGTTTTTGCAGAACTGAGTTGTTCACTGTAGCTGTAACTAACTGTTTTTCTAGTTCTTCAATAATAGAATTTTGTCTGGCTACTAGGACTTGAAGCTGATCTTTTTCATCTTTTATTGACTTCAGCTGAAGTGTGTGCTTGTCTTCCATCTCAAGAACTCTTTTTTCTAGAAAGCTAAATAAAAGATTACATTTAGACTCCTCAGAAACAATTTTGAGCTGATGTCAAGAGAATCAAGCCTATTGCAGAAGCTTCTTTCTTCATGAGTACTTAACTTCATTCCTTGATGCCATGCATGCAGTAGAAAGCTAAATGGAAGCTGAGTTTAGTTTGATATATATGCTTTAATTTATTATATAATTAACTAGTACATTAATAGACAACATTATAGAGTATAATCTGTATCGCAGGCTTTTAAAGTGTAACAATAGGGTGTTTGATAATTCAACATCATGCAAGAAAAGATGTTATTTTGATCCTGAAAAACGGATAGTAGTGCTAGAAGTACAAGGAGTATAAAATAGATGTAGACCCAAAGTAACCATTAGTTATGAATATGAAGGATCTTGAATAAGATTCCCTCAGAGCTTAGGCATAATAGTGAAGGATTTCAAGTTTTTATCCTATTAAAAGATGAAACTCATTCAAAGATGATCCTAGGAACTCTTCAAATGTCCTGTATCATAATAAAATACATTCTTAACAGAAATGGATGTTGCAGCATTAAGACAGGGAAACCTGCACATAGTTACTTGAAGACGTGTTACCCATCTCCAATTCTGGAGCTGGTGTGAGTAGGTGACTGGCTGGAAAATTATTTTATTGGTAATTGTTCTGATGCAGACTCTGAGAAAGCTGATGTTAAAAGATGCATGGCCAGAAGGGAGAGGTTCACCTAAAGTCCATTACTGTTATTGAAAAAAATCCTGAACCTTATAATTATGTTTCAAGCAGATTAACTTGATGTCAGACAATCTTTTGTTAGGTGAGAAACAATGCTTTTGTGTTTACATGGGTTTTACAAGGGTAGTCTAAAGTCTGCTGAGTTCAACACAAAAAAGTGACATTTTAAAATTCAGCATTTGCTTTGCTTTCCATTTGATAAGGATGCTTGTTTTTATTAAGCTGGTAGATAAAACCTTTAGGGAGCATATATAAATGTAGTAGAGTAGTGAACAAAAATGTCAAAACATGTCTCCTGTCTTTTTAAAGCTAATTCTTCTAAAATAAAAAGCACTTTGTACATATGGTTCTCATTGGAAAACACAGCTTTGAAGGAGAAAACTTACTGTTATTGCTGCTTTTAGATTTCTCTGTAAAATTTCTCTGCCAAAAGTAAAATAAGACCCTGGTGATATGAAAATGAAACTAGCTGAAAAAAGGTATGAGCCTCTGGACAACAGCTGAGTACAGAAATAGACAGGAGTAATAGTAGGTTATTGGTCTGAATTTCAAAAGATTGACTAGTAGGGAACACTGAATACGAGTAGTATTTGACTTTTCTGACCAGGTTTGAAAAAAATTGCGGCAATGACCTGACTGTGTACTGGGATAGCCGTGTACTACATGAAAATAGAATTTTAGAGATGTGGTTGCACTGAGTTAGTTTGAGTCAGGCTACATAATCCATAACTTCATCTGGATAAGTCTAAAAGAAGAATACGAATTGGCTGCAACTGAAGTACCAAGAAGTATTTCAGTTTTAAGGTTAAGTTCCTTATATAAAGGAGAACTTTAGATATTGAAGAATGATATATAAACAGAACACAAGAAGAATAAACCTGCATGATTCTCTAGGCCTTACATAATATATAACCTTTGTAATGAGCATAGCTGGGTGGGGGGAGCTTCTGTACAGGCCTTATTTTCCTGGTTGAGTACATTTGTTTCTCAAACCATTAGAAGAGTACTTCAGGGAATAGCATTTTATTGGGTTGATAGGCAAACTTACCTGTTTTTTTCTTGTAATTTAGTTATCTCGTTGGTCTGATCTGAAATCTGTCTTTCTAGTTTGTTTGTTGAAAGAGAGTGTTCCAAAAGCTGAAGTTCAAGTCTGGTTGTCTGGTTTAATACCTAAATAAAATTCATAAAAATATTTAAAAATCAAGGTACTTCTTTTAAATAGACTGTAATTTCTTTATGTTGTGAAATCATGCAAATATCTACTTAAGCCTATAATTAAAAAAGTATTTTTGAACACTTAATTTGGGCACAAATGCTCATAGAATTAGAATGAAGAAGAATACACAGAGCTGCACTAATTTTGTTGTTACACTACCATGTATCATTGGGAATATTTCAGTAGTATGCTACATTTCTGATCAACGGCTGAGAGTTACTGTGTACTTTAGTTTTGCTGTCATACCTTCCCCTCTGTTATGGTACTCTTATTTAATTACTGGAACTATTATGGTTGTTGTTCAGAGAATAATTTGAGTTGTTTTCTCAATCTGGTGTAGAAAGAATTTGGCATATCTCTCGCTGGTTGAAATCTTGGCCCAGTCCTGAAATGACTAGGTAGTTCCCTTTTAGCTATTTTCCTTAATCCCAAATTATATTTTAAAGTGTTTATTACATGACCACGCTTCTGTCAACTCATTCCTTGCATTTTAATGATACCTTTTCTATATGTATTGTTTACTGTCTAAATTTATTTGCATCTTTAATTGAAGAAATGCAGATATTGGGAAACATGGAAGATACTTTTTGTATTGGATTGCATTACTTGATGCATGTTTTCTAGAAATATTTTCTCATTGTTTTAGAACAGCTTTTTTTAATTCATCGGAATTTGGCTTTTGTTGGCAGGAAGAATTGATTACTCATGTCCTTCATGTTAAACAGTCATTCAGGACATGATTTCACACTTAAGTGTAATTGAAAACTATTGCCAAAAGTAAGTGTCCTTGAGAGAGCAATTGTTTGGTTAATTTCCTTATGTTGTTAATTAAGCCCTTAACCCAGTCACCAGTAATTTCAAGCAGAGAAGGAAAGTTACAGTGATTATTTTCTTCCTCTGAGCAGAAAATAATTGAATCATTTCCATGAAGAGGTTACTGTGAACGAATAAATACATTCTCTCAACATGTGCAAAATACTGGGCTCCTGAATAATACAATCAGAAAGCTGGATTCAGCACTCCTGTGAGTTATGAACTATCAGGTTATCAAAGAGTTCACGAAGGCTTGTTTTAGGTTAAAGAATGCAACTGAATCATTGGATGAATTATACAGATAGTAAAATGTCTAACAAGGATTTTAGGTTTTGCATGCTATTTACATTATATAAAATGTTATGTGCTACATACTATATTCACTCTTTTCTGGGGGAGTTATGTATCTGAATTTTCCTACCATGTTAGCAAGACTACAAATACACACCTTTCTACATGGATTGGACTTGTCCTTAGAACATATTAAAATTTCCATTCTATTTCATAGAATGTCTTATTGTAGTTAATGCTTTTCAGTTAACACAATAATTAAACTCATTACATTGTTTTTTTTGTTTGAAATCATCTAGAGAATAATATGTACAGTGGGCAAATTTACTTCTGTGTGAATATATTTTTCTAGTAGCCGCCTCCTAATTCCTTTTTTTGTGATTCATCTTTGGTTTATTTATCCCTCTGATAAATAACAATATTATAGTGCATTGTGCTGGAAATGAACTGTTATCCCACTTCTAGTATCTGTGAAAACATTCATTAAAATGATGCATTTTTATTGACAAAACATTTTTTAAAATTAAAAAAAAAGAAGTAAAAAAGCAATTAGCCTGGTAAGTGGAACAAAGGCAAAGTTTGAAGGAACTCTCCTTTAGCTGAGATCTGGCGGTGAGAGGTGAATAATCAAGAGAGATATACAACAAGGGTTGTATAAAAGGAAACTAGTACCCAGTTGATGCTTGGATATACTCTAGTATCTTTAAGTACATTATCTTTAAAGACGAATGTAACAATTGTCTTGCTGGACATACTTCAAATCCTGTTGTAATGGAAGTCTTTCAAGTGACAACAGTGAGCTTGAGATGGAACTATGTATCACCAAATACTAATGTTTCCTTAAGCTGGTTGATTATGATTGACTTCTAATTGTTGAACTGAATAGTGTAACACTAAACTGTGTTAAATGTGTAGTTGTAGGTGCTTGGGACGCAGAAGCATTTTTACGTTGAAATTCATTACTTACTTGTGCTTCAACATCTGTTAATTTGCGGGTCTGTTCAGCTGTTTGATTTAGTAAGTTTGTGCCTATTTCAATCATTACTGCAGTCTGGTTCTGCACTGCAGTTTGCTGGATCTCTACCATTTCTTTCTTCATACTGTCTTGGATGTAATTCTCAAGCTACATGGGAAAGGAAAGAGAGAAGATAGTTGCATTCTTTAAATGTTGGAAGGGGGGGTAGTACAGTAAGTACTGGCTGCCTTGCTAAACAAATTTGTTCCTTGTCCTTGTCTGTTATGCATTTATGTGAAGTTTCCCAATGTTAAGCTCTGTGAGAGGAAGGGCAAATATGACAAGGAATGTGTGGCCACCCGTTTTCTAAAGGCAGGAACAGAGATTTGCAGGAGGTAGATAGAAGGCGCAGCAGTGAGAATGCTTACAGGCACTTGGAAGCTTTTCTGCTTTAGTGCTCCCACATTATAACCATCAGAGGAGCTTCACCAGCTTTGGCAGCGATGGGAAATTTTTAGAAGACAAAAGCTTAGGAGTTTAGTCATCTTGCTGTATCTAGACTTAAATATTTTCAAAAGCATTTTTCATCACATGGCTAGGAGTCAGAGAAGAGGTCAGATGTCATTTAACACTGTTATGTGCACATTTTTATCAGAGAGAATTTCAAATAAAGACATGAAACCATAGGAAAACCTATAAATACTTCAAATACTTAATATTTAGGAATGCAAAAACTGGTTTAAATACTTGATTCCAAAGTAATTTCTATGTCTAAACTAATAAGGCTTTTTTTGGTAGTAATTTTATAAGAGAACACACTGCTTTCAAGGAAAGCACCAAGAAAATTAGTAGCAAGGAGAAAATTCAGTTAACCTTTCATGAAGTCTTTCTTTTCACGTCTGGATTATCCAAAAGCAGTCCAATTTTTCTCCATGCTTCTTTAATATCATTTTCTCAATAACTTTGCAAATATTTTATATTTCTTTAATGAGTCACTGCTGACGTCTGAATTCTCTGTTAAAAACCCCAGCCACGTGATTTCTTTCTTTTTGTTGACTGGGGCAATTTCTAGAAATTTCTAGAATCAAACTTCTACTTTACTCCAACATTGTTCTAGCAAGAGAACCATAATCATTTTTGAGCTTCATGCTGTACCTACAAAGAGTATACTAGCTAGTAACAAATAGCTAGTGTCATTAAGCACAAATTATAAAGCACCACCAATTCCTAATCTAAGGACAGTGGCAAAACAGGTTAGTATCTTGATTTTTTTTAAAGTTTATTTCAAGAATGCTATCTTGATATGAATAATGGCTTGTAGTGAGGAGAACATTATTGTATGGCTATTTTCGATAGCAGTGAGGATGAAGCAGTTTATTATTCCATATTCTACCAAACCACCGTTCAGACATAGCCATTCCAATTCTGACCAGCTAAAAATCAATTGCCAGATCTATCAGCTTGGAATGTTTCCCCCTTAAATATTACTTGAGCAAGGACTGGACTTCACAGTTTTTTTGTACAAGTGACAAATGAAGAAAATAGGGCGTAGTAAGAAGTTATAACCTCTAAAACTGGAAGTATATCCTTAGTTTGAATTCAGCATTATTTCTTTTCATCCAGTGTGACCAAACTTTCTAAGCAGTATTTGTGTGTTCACCCCATTCTCCCCATGCAGCTGGTGAACTGCAATGCACAACAGAGACTTCAGATCTGGCACAAGCTTTGACCCACATCTACTATACTGCTTCATAAGTCTACTTACTTCCCTGATGTACCACAAGGATTTAAAAGTAGCCTTCAGACAGCCTTTAGGTGTTCTTTGCATAATAACCTTTTTGAACACTAAAAGTGAGCATACAATCAACCGGGTTTTGGCATAATAATTTAACACTGGTATCTCCAATTGCTATCACACTCTGGTAATTAGAGTTCTCCCTATTTCACAGGATCAGTTCTTGAGTGTTACCTTTTGCTGCTGGATATTCCTCATTTACAAAAGCTTCCGCACCCAGAGACAAACCTAATTTGACCAAACATGTTGGAAATTTTTAACACTTTTGTGACATCTTTTAGGTCAGCTGCTTCTTTTCTGTTGAAGATCAGTGGCTTTTAACTGTGTAGTAATGGTAAGGCATCTTTGGTCCTTGTTGATTAGGCTATGAGATGTCGGAGTATAGTGATAATTTAAAAAGCAGTGCAAGATGGTATTTAGTGCACAGTAGTCCAAGGAGATGTGCAAAATTCTGAAGGCTTTTATAGAGATAAAAATAAGTAATTTTTCACTAAAGTTAGATGCTGCTCCATGAAGCCTGAGAACAACAATTAATATGTGTCCCTCTGAAAAGGCTAAACATCTGTGGATTAAACAATTTATATGAGTCCAAATTAACTTTAGCAACTGAAGCTGGACAACTGGACATCATCATAGACAACTTGGAAAAGACCTTTTCTCAAATGCACCTCTGTTAAAAGAAAATGAAGGGAGATCTCCAGAATGCATTTTATTTGCCTCAGTACAACATTCAAGTATTGCAATGCCTTTATAAAGATCAAGGATATGGCCTCGCCAGGCAGACTCAATGCACATCTGCAATTAGAAGGGACATCAGGGAAAGAAAAGGACATACAGAGAAAAAAAAAAGGAGTGAGACATCTCAGATATCAGAGAGCTACCATATGAGAAAGCATTGAAAATACTGCATCTTTTTTAATTTAGAAAAAAGGCCCACAAAAAAACAAAGAAGGCAGTAAGTAGATGAACAAAGAAAGACTAATCAAGAGCTTCGATACTTTCATAAAATAATGATAGATCTTAAACCTCATTCTTCAAGGTTGGTTCCTTGTTCACTAGAGAGAGATCAGAATAAGAATCTGAGCAAAGTCATCTCTGCAAATAGGATTACAGAACTGCATCACTTCTTTGAAAATGTTATCACTGAGTTATTCCAAAACACACTACTAGAAAAGGAGTTAATTCTGGGCTTAAAGGTAAGGTAAACATTTTATGGTACGCTTAGGCAATTGCCCAGTTAAAACACGCAGCTGTAAGGTTGCTCTGATTACAGTACGCAAAACCTGTGATTACAATTTAAGGCATCTGGTGGTTCTGGTTACCAGATTTTTATACCCCTTGTCACTGTGCTTGCAACCTTAGAAAGCAGTTTTGTTTGGACACACAGATCTGCGCTTTCATAATTTATCTTATTTGCGTATCTGTAAGTATAAACCTATCTCCAAGTCTCTAACCTCTTTCAAATAATATCTCATTCATGTGATGTATTCTAAATCATCAAAGTATTCTCTTGACTCCAGTTTAACAGTTTGTCTTCACATCTGTTTTTCAACTTAAAAATATTAAATGAGCAACTTAGGGAATATGGTATTTGTACTTACTTGAAAGCATAAAATATGAGCATCAAAATGGATTTATTTTAAGATTTAAAGCCAGTTTCATGATCTAGCTTGCTTATTCTAATTTAGAGCAACAAAATTATATTGACCTATTAAGTGGCTTTGGAGCTTCTTGTGGTTTTTTTTTCCCCCTAAAAATCCTACAGAGCATGATTACATAAACCCCTTCTGTTCTTTCCTTCATATTTACTGATATTCTCCCACTTTTGTGCATTCTCTACATGTACTCACCATAAAATCTCTTTTCCTGACCTGAACCAAGATACACACTCATCCTTCTTTGCTTATATTTCCCTCTCTCTTCATCATACAATGCAAAACTGTAGAAAGTAGGACTTTTTACAACTACATTTCATATTTTTTTTAGCGGCAGGTGCTTACTTTCATCTTTCTTCAAAGATGAATAAAATAATTACTTTCATCCAAAATACCCATCATCTCCCACTGACCTTAGCGAGAGCAGAACATGTTCCCATTGCATGCTCTCGGAAAGCAAGGCTCTTGGGTTTCCCTGAGAATGGGGGTGGAAGATCTTTTTCTATTGGAAGTTAGGGCAGCCAAGGCTGAGCTTCATTGACAACACTGAGGATTAGCAGCTGTTTTGCAAGACTGCAGTTCTTTGTGGCACACTTTTTTGCTGAGTACTATTCATCAGCTCCTGCCAAGGAGCCTCCTTCCTTTATAAGCAGTAGCACACTCAGAATTTCTGAAGAGGGAAGAATGGCTGGGGGCATTTACAAGAGGGAAGGGCACAGGGATGAAATGCTTCAGTCCCCATCCATGAGTTTGGAAGCTTGGCAATTTGGTTTGTACAGCATGTCTGTCTTCTCCAATATTTTGCTCAAATTTGGAAGGTGCAGCAGGGATTATTTGCCAGATTTCTCTTTTGCTACATGGCTAGTTATGAGAAGACAATTTTTAATCTCTTCTTAATTCAATTTATAGCTGGCATATAAGACTTGTGTTGATATATGTTAACCTTGATTGCATGATGGTTATTTTGGACAAAGTAACTGTCAAACCCTAATAACTGACTACTAGTGATGCATCTTCTTTCAGTAATTCTGCTTTTGAGGGAGTAAGTCAGTCAATGAATCTTATCTTCAGAAAACTGCAGGGGAGAGGGAAAGAGGTATTAATACATTCAGATTTGAAAGAAGGAATAGTTAGTTGATAGCATTTCAGTGATTCTTCGTGGGATTTTTTTCATGAAACATTCTAATTTTTGTGTAAGACTGGCTGGCATGTATTCTTGAAGAAAGTAAATATAAAAATGAAAGCACAGATGGGAAAAAGCATGTCTCTTAAAATATGCTTAAATTGCAAAAACAGCTGGGAAAAAAATAATTTCACAATTAAGGTTCGTAATATAGTTATGGTGATGCATTTTTAGAGAGACAAAATTCTCCAAGGTCATCAGTTTGGGGCTGTCATGCTTTATTACTTCAAATCATACAAAATCATAGAATTTGACGAACATACTTTAGCTAAGTTGCCAAAAGGAGGACAGATCAGTCATATTGGAGCACATTCGAAAACATTGCTTTTATAGCCAAGATTGTCTTTTTTTAAGCAAGCTTTAAATTGGCAAGAAAGAAAAGACAACATGGAGAGTATGTGTTAAAAGAAGTTTGTCTTCTAACCATTGGCAGAGATATGAAGGGTTGCCAATACTTATTTAAATGACGAGCCTTCCTGATTGCTATTGTATAGTTTGTGTCCATATTACAGAACAATTTTCAAAAGAATCAATA